TTTTAATCCTTACCTAGCTTACGGAATATGAGATTAATAAATTCCTTTCTACTCAGATGAAGTGGTCCATTCCATCTGGATATTATGTGAATTTAGTGATGTAGACAAACCGAACCGAGCTTGGGCTGTTCGAGCTCGTGTTCGTTTACGTTCGAACAATGTTCGTATTCGTTCGTTTATTTTTCGAGCTTTTGTCGAACACGTTCTGTTTTTATTCGCGAACGTTCGGTTCGTTTACAGCTCTAAGTGTGATAACAACACACATCCAAAAGCAACAACAATAATGATAATTATGAACAAAACACACACACACACAAATTGTGAAACCAGAGTGTAAGTTTACCAGAAGCACGGCCTTGATATGTCGCTGATCGAATTCAAACCCAGCTTCAACGGACTCCATTATACTCAACATTGTATCCACAAAATCCTCTCTCTTATCCTCCCCTTCATTTTTCTTCTTCTTCTCTAAATGCTGCTCAATGGTTTCCTCCAAAAACTCATCATGGAATGGGTGGCTTGATATATTATGATATACTCCCTCCGTTTTAATTTAAAAGTGACTTTTTCGGTATATCTCTATGTATCTAGATAATAATATGTCTAGATACATAGCAAATGGATGAATAAAAAAAAGTCAAAACTACTTATAATTTGAAACGAATGGAGTATTTAAAGTTGGGAGATGCCTGGATGCAATTTTTTTTTTTTTTTTAAATCTAATCATTTTTAATCAATCATTTTTTTTTTTAAACGTGAGTCTAACCCAATTTAACTCAACTCTACAATATTCAATATATTAAATAATATCATTCAATCATTCATGCATATTGCATCATTATAAATAAATTACTATTAGGGTGTGATTGGTTGCAATCATGGATTGGGCATGATTAATTCCTGTGGTTAGTTATTAACTTTATATGCTTGATTATATAAAGAATATTAAGGTGTTTGGTTCAAGGTAAGGATAATAGACTATTACATTTTTACCCTTCATTTTGAATTAAATTTGCAAATGTTAACACCAATAATAATAAAAAAAAAAACTGTGAAAGCCATATCAATAAACATATCAAAAAAATTACAGTGAAAGCCACATCAATTACAGTGGCAAATCTTAAAACATTCTGCAAAAAGTTACATACCATAAATTGTGAAAGCCATATCAATTATCCAAATCCCTCTAAAGGTTTGAACAAAAAAAGAAGAAAAATAAGGAAAAAATAAGAAAAATTTGGCTCGATTTTCTCACTTTGCGAGGCCATGGATCTCGCATTATTCGCCTTCGATTTTTTGGAGATCGTCTTTTGACGGCGGAGGCACGCTGCAGCAAGAGCCACTGAAAGTTCATCGGCGACGCTGCCTTCTTCCTCAACAAATTCAACGGCAGTGGGCTGGATCTAGACTTTGAAGGACTAAGGATCTGACGGGGGCAACTTGAAGAACGGTGGACATGGCGACGGTGGCGACTTGGCTGACTGTGGATCCGGCGAGAACATGAAGGAAATTGTTGATTGAGTTAATTTTGTGATTTTTTTTTATTTCTTCAAATTTTATTGTGTAATTTGGGGGCTTCAAATTTTGTGAAATTGAATCGAATTTTTTAATTCTTGAAATGCTTTTGCTCAGAAGTCAGAAGGATATATATGGAAAATCAAAGGCCAAAATAAATTTTCTTACACATCCCACCTATGTGGCCTGATGTGGTATCCCAATTTTAAGTATTATTGGACCGGGCTTTGCACATTTCAAGGGCCTATATTGAATGAACCAAACACATTTATAAGCAGGAAATATTAATAAATGGAAGGATATCACTCCTTATCACCCCAACCAATCACACCCTTAATATACTCTTATAAATTTAACTAGCCATCACTCCACATCATTTCTCTCATTCTTTTACATCAAATCAACTTAATTTTTTTTTTTTTATTTTAAGATAAACTCAAAATCTCACGAACAACTAACTATACTAATTTTTTTAAAATTAACCATACAAACCAAAAAAAACCAAACAAAATTATATCCAAGCATCCCGACTTGAAGTGCGTAGGCGGTGCTTGAATATAAATTTTGGTCGGTCAAATGCATCACAATGTAAATTTAATTCAAATTTAATTAAGTTACCTCAACTCTATATGTTATCAATCTATAATTTGGAGCATCACATCATTTAATTTTATTACCATGCATTAAATTTTATTCTCCCTCCAAATTTTTCAACATTCAATTTTATTTTTAAGTTACAAAATAACTTGCTTGAATGCCATAAATTATAAACATAAATGAATCAAGAGAGTTACAAAATTGAACTCAATTTTTAAATCACACTCACTCATCAAAATGGCCGGATGTATTAGCATAAAGAAAATGGTAACGACTCTTCCATAGCAATTACTTGATCAAAATTAATTTTGAGAATCATTTTCTTATTTCATATTTTTTTTTTCATGAATTAAATTATGATGTATTTTTTTTATATTGTTATCTTTTTTAAGTATTCTTCTATGTGCAATTGCACAAGTTGATTACTATATCTATATCTATTTGTATAAAATTTGGAGCAACACATCATATAATTTTATTATCCTGCATTTAATTATATTATCCCGCAAAAAGTTTCAGCATTTAATATTATTAGTTTTCATTTCTCGCCTAAAGCAATTGCCATTTCTCTTATTTAATTTTATTATTCTGCATTAAATTACATTATCCCCCTATGTGTCATGGGTTGTGTTGTAATTACCATCTCTTATTTACTCGAAAAGTTTAAAAATGTATATAATGATCGTTTTTTCTTATTTATATTGGTTAAATAATTTAGTTTTTTTTACCCGCTTAGCTGAAAAAAATCTGATCTTGATAAACTTTTTTTGCTTTTTTTTTTTTTGTTATCTGGTTGGCCTCTTGAGTCGTGGTTTTTGTTGTAATTGTACTTTCCATTTATTCCCTACAAAATTCAAGAATGATATTTTTTTATTTATCTTTTTTGTTGCTTTATTTTTTTTATTTGCTATTTTTTTTTGTGTTTTCACCTCTGTTCGATCGCACATCCTTCAAATTAAAGTAAAATATTTAGTAAACAACATAGTTGAATATTAAAACATTATTTTAACAAATTTGCGAGTAGAAATGAGGTGTACTTAGAGATCTTTATTTTTTTATTTGAAACCCGGACACATGGCTCATATGTATGTGTAGATCGACTGTTGCAACCGAACAACATGTATATTCTTCAGAAAACCATAAGAACATCATTAAATATAACAATATTCGTTCATTATTTGCAAAAACAAATCTATGTTTTGAGGAAAAGACATCAAACTATGTAGATATTTCATATTTTTTTTAAAGTAAACGGCAAAACAAACACTAAAATAAGATTTTCTATCTAATCTACTTATGAAATCAATTGAAAACATGATTTTTTTTTAAAAAAAAATTATATATTCTCAACAAACATTACATATCTCGATAGATCCGTACTATAATCGCCCTATTGAACCATTTTCTTATGATTCATTGATGTAAGCTAGCAAAATAGGGATGACAAGAAAATATCAATCGACTTCTGAAATTAACTGAAAATACTGTTTTATAGAAAAAATAAAAAAACCATAAATTCTTAACAAAGATTACAGATCTTGATAGATTCGTACTATAATCACCTGATTGAAACATTTTCTTATCATTCATTGAAGCATTTTAGCTAAATAGAGACGACAACCTTAAATCAAAACAAAAAATTCCAAATCTTGATAGATATGTTATGTAATCGGACGATTTGCACTTTTTTACTATGATTTAGTAAAACGAGACTATAAAATCGGAATGATTTTGATGTTACATCTCGATTTTGTTTGAAACTTTTAATTTTTTGAAAAAATTTAGAATTTGATCAGAATATCTGACCCCAAAAACAAAGAAAATGACATGATTATCGACAAAAATTGATAAGAAAAATGAGATCTTGGATATTTTTGACAGAGAAAAAAACGCGTGATCCGCCGATATGATTTGGTAAAGCCCCAAAAAAAATAATGTTTAAGTTGAGCCCAATAGACTTATTGAGAATATCGGCCCAAGCCACATTTATAAATTTTTTAATAAAAAAATAAGCCCAATTCACCACATTTTTTAATATGTTATCCAGCTCAATTCAACAATTATTTATAATGCAATTATTTGTTCAGTAGATAATTTCGATCCAAATGTTTACATTTGCACACAATTATAATAAATCGACATACATTTTATTATTCTTTATTTGTTTGAGAGTACCGTTCAAGTTCAACGCATACAATTTTCTATCATGGTCTCATATACTATGATGATCAACAAGAGTCAAAACCAATCTATCTCACACGTCCGCTTAGTCTTGAACAACCCTGTTTTTAGTCATGGACAGTTGTACGTTGCTCTTCCTAGAGTTACGAATGAGAAGCATTTGAAGATAATGATATGTGGTGATGGTGATTCCGACGATAGGAAAACAATGAATGTTGTATACAAACAAATATGTTTAATAAAATTTAGAATCATTTTCTTAAAATTCATATTTTTTTCATGCATTGAATTACGGTTATGTATTTTTGATTTTTTTTTTATATTATTATCTTTTCTGCGTATTTTTCTCCGTGCAAATGCACGGGTTGATCACTAGTATAGTTAAATAATATCAATCAATTATCTTCACACATCACATCAACTTTCATTCAATATTCATGCACTCACATAATTTAAATTACACATCACTTTTAATCACTTTTCTCATACTTTTACAACAAATCAATTATAATTATTTAATTTTAAATATCATTTTAATAAAAACTCACAATCTCATTCAAAACTTATTCAACCAATTTTTCAAAATTACTTGTGGTTAACCAGAAAAACAAATCAAAACTCAAACTTGATTTATATCCAAGGACACCCTTATTTCATCATGTTATCAATGACAAGTTTAATATTACAATTTCAATGAACTTTTATTTTTCATTTCTGTTATTAATTTCGAATTACTCACGTAGGCGAGAAGTTGGGATAGCCATTAGATGCTTTTCTCGCGCAGTCACCAAACCAAAGTGCTCGGACATGTCCAAATCACAAGCCAGCATACCATTTGGAAGTTCCCAATCAAAGCAATGCATCAACTGTGCCACTATCAACTTCACCACAGTGAGCCCGAGTTGCAGCCCGGGACAGCTCCTCCGGCCCGACCCAAATGGCAAGAGCTGAAAATCATGGCCCCTCAGGTCTATCTTACTACCAATAAATCTCTCGGGGGAAAATTTTTCTGGGTCGGGCCAAACATCGGGATCTCTGCCGATTGCCCACACGTTGACTAACAATCTCGATCGTTTTGGTATGTGAAAACCTTCGATCGTGCAATCTTGTGTGGACTCGTGGGGAATCAACAGTGGTGCGACTGGGTGGAGCCTTTGGGCTTCCTTGATTACAGCGTCTAAGTAATGGAGGCTATCGAGATGGTGTTCGTCGACCATATGAGCCGAGCCCACCACGGATTCTAACTCTTTCTGGAGCTTTTTCGTGACTTGTGGGTGTCTAATGAGTTCTGAGAGTGTCCATTCTATCGCTGATGATGAAGTGTCCATTCCTGCTATAAGTAAATCCTGAACATACAACCAACATTGATCATAATTTCGTATTACCTAGTATCATCAATAGTTAATCTTAGAAAAAAAAAAACCATTAGTTTTTTAATTATCATCAAAATAATATATATTTAAATATTTAAAATTAGCTTTTATATATTTTTAAATATTTATGAATTTATCATTTTTTTTTTTACATAAATGCAACTGATATTGGATTAATTTTCACATTAAAGTAATATTACAAAAAACATTTATATTTATTGTTATAATTATGCATGTCAAATATGACATAGAAAATAGTATTATTTCAATTCACATACTACAAAATATACGATTAGTTGATGCATTAAAGTTATTAATGTACAAAAAAACTGCGGCTTCAATCAAAATTGTAACTTCAATTCAAAATTAAAATATTCAGGTGATGAATACTAAAATTCGAATGTAACATTATTTCAAAAGTTTGGGTATTATATACTATAATTTCCTCCAAATGAACATATTGCTACCAAGCACATGTATTCTAATCTATATCTATATCTATATCTATATCTGTATTTATATATATATATATATAAAGGTTGTTGGAAAATTCATTTTTAGAAACTTTGACCAAATAAATAAATAAGTTGACTTTCTATGTTTAGACTATTAAAAAAAAGGATAAGAACCATAATAAAACCTAAAGATAAGACTTTTCAAATTTTCAAATTTTCAAAGATAAGGGTAAGAGTCATAATAATGGAACTTCAAAACAAATTAATTAAAAAATTAATATTTGAGTCAATCCAACAATTGATAGAAATTGTAACAAAAAATCAAATATTTTAGGACCACATTAGAATTGCATTTATGAAAATTCCACACCAATCTTATCATAAAGTTTCCACATTAATTAAAATTCTAAACAAATAAACCAATAATTTATAATACAGTTCATGTATACTTATATTATCATAATTTAAACAAGACGTGTACATTACCTCAGTTATCATAATTGAAGCAAGTTTAAACAACATAATTAGTATAAGAGTCCTTAATATTTGACATTAAATAATATAATAATATAGTTTATCATGCTATAGTATTAACAAAAATTGAGTTAATGAGGAAACACGTGTAATGGGCAAGTTAAAACACGTTATAAAATCTAAACAACTCAATCAATTGATTAATTATTTAAATCATTTTAACTTATCTTATTATCAAATCACCATTATTCAAAAAACTTAAAATGACGTTTAATTATGACACATGTGTACTAATTGGTCATCTTTTACACAGATAAAAAATCTTAACGACTTAACTAATTAATTATTTTTCAAATCATTTGGACTTATCTTATAATCAAAACACAATTTATTCAAATTCTTATTTTAAATTAATCTAAACATAAATGTACGAATCACAATATATGTGATCGATTTGTTTAGAAACATTCATTTTCCGCAGTTAAAAAAAAAATTAACAAAAAAAATAAAGAGACGACCGACACGACATAGAGAATTGGTCGGGGAAGGATAGGAAAGAATGAAATGAAAACCCTGAAAATCCGGACTTATGGTCTAATGTTTGTTTAATTAGTGTCGATGTTATGGAACATAGTCCAATACTTGATATATTTTATAAAAAATGCTACAAGTATATAATAAATGTACATATAAATGTACATAACACTCATATGGAATGAAGCCCACTTGATTTTTTTATTTTTGGTGAGTCTCACTCAATATGAGTGCTATTTACGCTCGTATGTACAATATTATGTACCTATAACATTTCTTTTATTTTAATTCCAATTAAAGAAATGTTATTGTAGTTGATTATTATTATTATTATTATTATTATTCTTATTATTATTATTATTATTAGCAGTCATGTCTTTTCAATTTTATTATGGCTATATACAAATTACCTTCGAAAAAGCACATAAATTATATTTTTCCCGTGCATCGCACGAGGATTACTAGTGATTGTAGTTTTACTAAACCTAACTACTAATTAAGTAATTATTTTCATATTATTGATTTAATAATATCAACTTGTTGATCAATATTTTTGTCTTGAGCGGATCCAATCAGTCACTATCTTCTTATTTAATGCACCAATTTGCACCTAATATCTGGCAAAACTAATTGACTTTCCACCTTTTAATCCTTACCTAGCTTACGGAATATGAGAATGAATGCCTTTCTACTCGGATGAAGTGGTCCATTCCATCTGGATATTCTGTGAATTTAGTGATGTAAACGAACCGAACCGAGTTTGGGCTATTCGAGCTCGTGTTCGTTTACATTCGAACAACGTTCGTGTTCGTTCGTTTATTTCTCGAGCTTTTGTCGAACACGAACGAGTTTTTATTCGCGAATGTTCGGTTCGTTTACAGCTCTGAGTGTGATAACAACACACTCCCAAAAGCAACAACAATAATGATAATTATGAACAAAACACACACACACACACACACAAGTTGTGAAAACAGAGTGTAAGTTTTACCAGAAGCACGGCCTTCATATGTCGCTGATCGAATTCAAACCCAGCTTCACCGGACTCCATTATACTCAGCATTGTATCCACAAAATCCTCTCTCTTATTCTCCCCTTCCATTTTCTTCTTCTTCTCTAAATGCTGCTCAATGATTTCCTCCAAAAACTGATCATAAATCTTACTCAATTCCTTCATTCTTCGGCCCATCCCCTGAAGATCGAGGGCATCAACGTAGGGAAAATAATCGGCAAGATTAAATCTGGCCGCAAGCTCCATTGTCTCCATAAACAAAGCTTTGAACCCCTTCTCGTCCAGCTCCCTGTCTTCATACTTTCTCCCTAAAATCAAGAGACAGTTCATATCCCCGCTCAGGCCCGACACCCTGGCGCTCAGATTCACAATTTCCCGGCCCTCGGCGGCCCGTTTGAGGGATGCCACGAGAAGCCCGAGCTCGGTTCGCCTCGTGCCCTGGGACCGGCTGATCCTGAGGTTGCTCAGCAGCTCTAGGGTGCAGAGCTTTCGAATGTCGCGCCAGTAAGGGCCGTAGGGCGCGAAAACCAAGTTCCTCTGACCGTAGCCTATGTGCTTGGCAGCGTTGTTGGCGGGCCGGCTGGCGAAAACGAGGTCGTGGGTCTTGAGGACCCACTCGGCCCAGGCTGGGGACGAGACGACGATCGTTGGGGAGAACCCAAAGCGCAGGCCCATGATCGGGCCGTACTTGCGGGCAAGATGGCATAGATCTTGGTGAGGATTTTTCCCGAGCAAGTGGAAGTGGCCTAAGATGGGGAGTGGTATCGGGCCTGGAGGAAAGTTCTTCGGGCCGACGCCGAGGATCTTGCGGAGGAGGAGATAGGCCAAGAAAAGTATTATTGGGCTCCAAATCCAGTCCATATTTTCGGGAGTGCTTTATGTTATTGAGATTTGAGGGGAGGGAAGATTTTAATTGGGTACTGCCTTCATTGCACCGTTTGTTTCTGTGTGGTTGATATATAATGTGCTGTGTTTATTAGATGGGTGGCTTAGGATGTGATTGGATATAAATTCAATAACAACTAAAATACTTAGACTCACAGCTTGATGTCCCTTAAGCAAGGTTTCGGGTTCGAGTTCTTATGGATGCAGAAAATCCTTGTTGGGAAACTCACCCACCATTGTCAAGTGTGCGACCCGGGTCGACCAACGGATTAGCGGGGGCATAGCTCCGGATACCGTGGCTGGCTACCAAATAAAATACTCAAATTTAACTCAGTTTTGACTTGACCTCACTGTCATCAATATTATTAATATAATTTAATAATATGAATCATTCTTACATATCATATCATCATTCGCTCACATAATTTTAACAAACCATTACTTTACATAATATCTCATACTTTTATATCAAGTCAACTTTAATCATTTCCTTTTAAACATTATTTTACTTTGAACTTAAATTTTCACTAGAAACTAATCATACCACATTTTTAAAATTAACTATATATATAAAAAATAAAAAATAAATCAAATACATATCCAATCACATCACACTATAACATTTGTTGTGAGTAAGGATGTCAATGATGATTTGTTCACTATAACATTTGTTATGGTTGAGGCAGAGACCGATAAAAATTGGGAATAGTTTTGCTTGAAGTTGAATATTTTCCACGGGCTTACATATTCCTAGAAGCTTCACATTTTTTTAGGATCGACACAGTGGTCTACTTAAATCCATCCCTATGGTTTTTCTCAGAAGTTATCATGCTTATTTGGAAACATCTAGTCGACAACTTTAAGAAGCAGGTAATAACTTAGTTATTATGTTTATATTTATATTAAATTCATAACTGATTATTATTCATAATATTTATTCATGTTTATTCATAACTTTGTAGCCATCTTTTTATTTATTATTGTTATTATTAAAGGTTGAAGTAGGACAATTATGTATAACTGTCAATACTTGGTCATAGAGGTGCAAACGAGCCGAGTCGAGCCGAGTTGAGCAATGGCGTTATTGAGAAAGATTGAGTATTTTTTAGCTGCTCGAGCTCGAGCTCGAGCTCGATTTTTTAGGCTCGAGCTCGACTCGGTAAGAAATTACAATAGCTCGAGCTCGACTCGTGCTCGACTCGAAATCAAAATGCTCGAGCTCGGCTCGAGTTTGGCTCGAAAATTAGATAATATTACCATTAAACACCTGTGCTAATATATATAATAAGGGATATTTTTGTCATTAACGTATATCTCGAGCCGCTCGACAAGACAAAATATAGGTTCAAGCTCGACTCGAGTTCGTGCTCGAGCCGCTCGAACTCGACTCGAGTTCGGTCAAACTCGAGCTCGAGTCAAGCTTTGACTCGAGCGCTCGCGAGCGGCTCGTGAGCCGCTCGAGCCGCTCGACTCGTTTGCAGCCCTACTTGGTCATCAACAGCGGCGGATCTACGTGTACTTTAGGGAGGGCCATTGCCCTCCCCCACCCCTCCCCCAACATTTGTAATTTTTCGTGTATATACATATGATAAGTATATCTTTTTTCACATAAACTCATACCATTATATTAAAATAGTAATTGTATTACTCTTTTTACTAATATATTCAACTGCAATTATACTCTTTTTATATTTTTGTATAACATTTTTTTTCTAATTTAAATAAATTGAATGTAAAAAAATGGTAATATTTGAAAAAGAGTACCATATAAGATATGCTTAATGAAAAGAAAAAGTATCAAATTATTAGTATTGAGTCAATCATTAATGAAACTCATGAGCTGAGAGAGGGTTCAATGTAAATTTGTTAATGTTAATGTTTGAGACTTCATAATTTATATTGCGCCATTATTATGTATAATTTTATAATACAACTTTATATTTGTTTTATGTGCTATTAAATTAATTTTATGATTATTGAAAATATGTAGTTCCCCTCAACTATAATTTTGGATCTGTCCCTGGTCATCAATTCAGGGTTCACTTGGTAGAGGGTGTGTGGCAAGAAGAGATAGGTAAATACTGAAAACTTGGACTGAGAGGGGGGGGGTTCTGCTCGGGTGTAGAGGAAGAGGACCATTTGGCAGGGATCAAATGGTGTTTGGAGCTGGCAAAAGGGCATGGTTGGACTCATTTTGTGTGCATAACTTATCAGCAGACCATGCTACATAAACTACTTTCAGGAGCAGGTTTCTCTCCTCATTTGGGTCGTGTTGTTGAAGAGATTGTTTCTTTAGTCTCTGTTGTTAATTCTAGTTCTTTATTTGGTGGGGAGTTTGTGTGATTCGTCTAGGAACTTAGCCATTGAGGATGATAGAGCTAATCTTTGATGATTTTTCGAAGGAGTCTACTTCGAGATTTGGTGTTCGAAATTGTAACTATTTAGTTTTTTTTTTCGAAACGATAGTAATTAATCTCATAAATAGAAATGTTCATACACGGGATCACGAAGGATCACAATCCATAAAGGACTAGAGGCTAAACCTGCCTAGAAAACTAAGAAAATACATTAAACACCTACCAGATAATAGCTGTAAAGGTGCACAAAGATCTATTACTTGTTACATATAGCAACTAAACCAAACCAAAAAACACACAAAGGAAACTAGCCACTGCTAGGGCCTAGCTAGTAAACAGAAAAACTAGAAATAAAACAGAAAAAACAAAGCAAAGGGAACAAGACTAAGTTGAAACAGCCAGTCTATATTCCATCCAATCTTGAACAACAATGCTAACAATAATGTGCTCCGGGGTCATGATCTTCTGGAAGACCCAAAGATTTCTAGTTTTCCATAGTTGCCATAAATTGTATGTGGAGAGTTGCACTTTATCATCCACTGCTTTCTCCGCTCTGATCATGCAAAGGGTGGACCACCAGTGCTTGAAATGCCCATCAAAAAGAGCAGGGCCATCCCATTTGATTGGAGAGAGAGACCAAACCTTCTCAGCTCTTAGGCGTTGAAACAGAACATGTGCTTTAGTTTCAGAAGCTTCTCCACAGACCATGCATGTAGTATCCAAAGTGAGGCCTTTTTTTGCTTAAGTTTAGTGGTCACAGGCAGGACTCCAGCGAAACATTTCCAAATGAAATGTCTTACTTTATCGTTTATCTTCAACTTCCAGTTTTTTGTTCTCATTTTCCTAAGATTTTCAGCCATAGTGCTATTCTCTGGAAGATTAAGCTTTAGGATTTTTTTCAGAGATAAGATGGGCATATGTGGCAGCTACAAAGAAATGTTGTTTTGGATTAAAGGACCAGTTTGGTTTGTCATAGAGATAGGCATTCAGGTGTTTGATTTTGAAGATGGCTTCCCTTATAGGAGATGGAAACAAACTGTTGATGAGTTCTCTATTCTAGGAGATGCCATCTTCAACAATAAGCTCAGAAACCCATGTCAGGTGTGAGGAGTTGGGTGGTCTGGTTAACAATTTTTGTGGAGAGAGGTTTGGGATCCATGGATGATCAAAGATTCTTGTCTGCCTCCCATTTATGACTTGCATAGAGAAGCCTTGCAGGAATGGTTTCTGGAGTTTTAGTCAATTCCTCCATATCCAGGAGGCATTTTGAGTAGGTTTGGCTCTAAAAAAATCACCAGAAGGGAAGTACTTGTGTCTCAGAACTTTGCTCATTAGCAGGTCTGGCTTGGTGATCAATCTCCAGATTTGTTTCATGGTGAGAGTTGTTGTAAATATTTTTACCGGAGTAGAATCGAAAGATTCGGCACCGGGTCGTATCGCAAGGAAGGTTAGCCGGATTATTTGTTACGGATATTTAATCACACAAAATGATAAAAGAAAGTCCTAAACACTCTAATTCAAGATTGAGGGTTTGATTTAACAACTACTAATTAGAAAGCAAGTAATTATGAAAACAATATAATCAATTCCAAAATCACAACTCAAACACAATTTCCAATAGTTTAAAGGGACTAGGGTATCGGGGACAATCGTTTCCGGTTCTCAATGCATTCAGCAGGAATCAATTACTCGACTAACAGAGTTAAAGACCAATTCATCTAGAGATTCATCCTCAATATCTCACGAAACAAGAGAATAAACATAAACGAACAAATCATCAAGTCAATTAGCACATATGCAACACTCTCCGAATAAGCCTACTCTAAACGAACCGAGGTCGATCGATTTCTCCCCTTTCAGTTCTAAAATCGATTAAATGAATTAGGATGGTGATCAATCATCTAACCCTAGGTTTAACATAACTCGAATAGATAGAGCAATCAACATTCTCAAAAACGAAATTGAACCGGAACAATCATCCCCTAACCCTAGTTATCGAATTTAGCTATCATCGCAATTTCAACACGAAGATTCATAATCAAACAAGCCATCACATTCATATATGAAATGAAAAGAAAAGCTTACAATTATTATCAAATCCAATGTCTAACAAAACAACGAGCAATCCAAAATACAAAGCTAGAAACGAGTTGTTCAATGCCAAAATCAAATCCCAGATGAAAGATTATGAAAAAGTAATGTTCTAAGGTGAAAGATGTGAAAAACGAAGTCTGAATGATGAAATTTTTCGCCCCCAATCGATTTAATCCCCTTTTCCTTTCAAAATACATGAAATCCGCGATAGCCATAAAACAGACCTTAGCGGCGCTAAGGTCTTAGCGTCGCTAAAGCAGGTTAGCTGCCCGCGTCTGTCCGTCAGAAATTTCAAAGTGCCGCTATTACTGGGGCCTTAGGGGAGCTAAGGCCTTAGCGGCGCTAAGGTCCCGTTGGTCCAAATTCTTCCCCTTTTTTCTATAGCTTGCGTGCTCGGGTACATCGCTCGGGTACGTCGCTCGGGTACTGCCCGAGCTGATGTTTGAGACCCGCAACATACTGCTCGAGTCATCCACTTCTCATCATGTTTGGACACTCGCCGGCCCGATCATCCAACAACCTGAA